TCTTTGTATTCTATGTTTTCTTTTAAAGAAGAGTTAAAAATATTTTCTAGGGACTTTCCAGTATTTCTTTCAGTGTCTTCCTATATTTTTTCTGCATTTGCGCATCAGAGAGCAATATGCTTTCGTCGTTTTAAGAACTCTGTATTTGAAACTCAACAGAACAAATTACAGTTCACGGCTCAAAGAGCTCACAGTACAAGAACAGAACTGCAACAAGCAGCCCTAGGAAGGGGAGTTCAAGAATAAGGGCAATGACACAACATTGTTTTAATGTTGTTTGGTTGTTGTTGTTATTATCCTATTGTCCCCAAACTGAAATTATTGGTGAAAGAAGGAAGTGAAAGTGGTTTGAAAGGAAGACGAAATAGGGGGGACCAGGAAAACGGCTGAGGACAGGAAGGCAGCGCGGACACCTGCGTTACATTTACTTACCAGGATGGCAGTAGAGAAATGAACGTGGGGTGAATACAGATGGCTGCTCTACCATGGAATGGCCTTCTAACAGGGTTTTAGTAATACAATTTAGATGCAGAATGGGGTGCCAAGAAGCAGCTTAAATGCAATTGGGAATATGAGAGGATGAATATATAGATCTCTGTGGTGAAATCTAAGGGGTCTTTCTTTGATTGTGGTGCAAATGTCCTGACTCTTCCTCAGTTTCTGGTCAGTTTTCTGATACATTGTACACGCACACGCACATACAAACGCTTACTTAAATTGTCTGCATGTTCTCAAAGGGAGCAGATTTTTCCATAATGGTTTCTGCGTGACCTGGTATTTGAATGCTTATGTGGCACACTGTAGAGTTAAAGAGTTCGACTGGCTGAACACCTTAAACGGAGGCAAAACTAATATGAGTTGGGGACAGGACTGAAATCAGTCTTACTGGATAATGACTTTGGGAAGAAGCAAGCTGAAGACAGCTCTCATATTTTGTGATCGTGGAGTTACCCGGCAGAGATTCATCACAGTTTTAACTGGTTTTATGCCTGTTAAAGAGCAGGGACCTGACCTGTTTTTTCCATTTTGTGGGTAAATACTGCTCACTTGGGACTATAGTGTAGGCAGTCTCTGCATATTCAGTTTTGCCATATGAATATTTAATTTTTCATAGAAATGATAGTATGCACAGCAGGAAGAAGTATATGCAGAATAGCCTATTGGATCTCCCTGACATATGGATTCGAGTCCCTGTTTCACATCAAACAGGGCAAGGCCCTGAACAGATACCTTTTAGATTTCAAGTTGCCAAAACATTCATTAACTCTTTTGCATTCCTCTTTCCTCCTCCCCTGAAATCTGAAGCCCTTGCCTCTCTCAAGAGAAGTAGTAGCCCTGTTGCTATTATGCCATTCTGCACTTGATTATGAAATGGGCAAACACAGGTGGGCAATGGGTCAGAAAAGAACAGCTCTTGCTCTGCGCAGGTGTTAACTATGAGGCCAACTTAATTCTGCGGCAGTGACATGAGGAGGGCTGTTTCTACTTCCTGCCTTTCATTCCAGCAAGTGTTAATGAAGAAGAGAGAAAAACATAAACGATTTGTTTTCAAATTGACTAAACCTGATCTGATTATTCACAAGTGCTGGATTCACCAGAACGTAGAACATACAAAATGCTTCAGCGGCCCCTGCCATGGTCTGTCTAACCCCACCAATCTGTGCCCAGCAGCAGCAATAAGTGACCATGCAACCCTGGCCTTTGTGCTCTCTTATACCTACAGTCCCATGGTATAGCATGTACTGGGGATGTGAGAAGTGCATCACTTGATTCCTTTTAGTAACTGGTCCTGACTGCCTCCTGCCAGCTAGTAACTGGTCCTGACTGCCTCCTGCCAGCTGGTCACTATGTGTTGTGTAAAGAAGTACTTTCTCTTGTCTGTTTTATGCTGACCTGCATATTTCATCAAGTGTCTCATAGCTTTCGTGCTGTGAATTGATGAATCGCCGTTCTGTGTTCACTTTTTCACTGTCTTCTTGATTTTGTAAACCTCGCTCAGATTCCCTGCAGCCTTCTGCTCTGAAAAGCAGAAGGATCTTTCTCCTTCTCTCCTCTCCTTCTCCAAACTGAAAATCCTTTATAGTCTTTTCTTGTAGGGCATCTGCTCCATCCCTTTCATCAATACCATTGCCCTCTGCCGTAGCTTTTCCAACTCAGCTACCTGCTTCTTGAGGTGCAGAGGTCAGATCTGCACAGATCGGTCAAGATATGGGCACATCAAGGAGGGAGTGCTTCTCTTCCAAAGGAACAGCCTTTTAAAAAAGGAAGCTGTAGTGTACTCAGCACTCTCCGTTTCAGGGAGCAGAATAGGAAGCAGTTGTTACACATGCGCAAATGCTTGCTGTTTGGGTACCAGAAGTACAGGCCACAGATTCCCATCTTGACAGTCAGATAGTGGGCTTTGGGTATAGTAAAGACTTAGAGCTCTGGGGCTGGTCTGGAAACTTGCACTGTTTGGGCATCTGGGGTAAAACCCTCTTCTATTAACTTAAATAAGCAGCCTTACCCTACAACCCACCAGAGAGAAAGGCCAAGGACTGGGAATAGCCTGGAGAGAGGGGAGTAGGCATTTTACCCTATGCTCTGCGCAGAACTCAAACTTCGCAGTTGCATTCAGTAATGTCAGGTTACCATAACAGGGTGAGTTGTTACCTCCATATACTACAAATCTGCATTTCAGCTCAGGAAATTGGGCTTAGATTGCAAAAATGAAGCAAATTATTTCCAAATAAAGCAAATAATACATAAAATAACAAACAGATAATAGAGATTTTTTGTGGAAAAATTTATTAGTATATTGGTAGGAATAACAACACTGTCACAAGCAAATTCTGGGTCGGTATGTAAGCTACAGTTTTTTCCATTAGCTGAAAAACTAACTAGGCATACAGCTAAGTCCTTATACAGAGCGGTGGAACTGTGAAATATTCTGCATTCTTAAGAAATTAACGTTAAGAATGGGAAAAGAAATCCAGTAGAAATGAAATAAATTATCAGCTTTTTTCTTCCTTGTATATAAATTATTAAATAAATGTTATGGTAAATCACAATTAAAAATACCCAAAACACTGTCTTACAGATTCTGTAGGCTATATTTCTGAAGTTGTAAAGCCACAGTTAACAGCCTAACCGCAGGCTGACTGTGACTGAGGAAACTGTTGTTGACACAACATACAAGTGCACTCCAGGGGAGCAGCTGGAATTCTCAATTCGCTGATGTAGTAGCAAAGTACTTAGGCTTAATGTAAGTGAGTAAGCTGTCCTGCAAGTGCATTGCACTTAACCGTTTATGTTTGGCTGCACTGGCTTCCTTTAGCTTCCTTTAGGGTCTTCATTTCCTTTAGCAAACCACTTTTCTTATCCAGTGTCTTCACTTTCAGGGAACAGCATTGAACATTCTGAAAGACTTCCTTAAATAGATGCAGTTAAATAAATAAATAAATAAATAAGTGGATACAGTGGTCTACAGTTCACTTAATAACAGCGAGGCAGGAGGTGGTAGGTGGTACACCACCTGAGAGTTGATTGATGCTTTCCCCAAGATGTTTCTCTCAGTGGAGGAGTGGGAGCAGTTCTGAGATTCTTCTGTCTTGACTTTTCTTAGAGTGGCAAATCAGTGTTGGATTGAGCCCTGTTAAGAGTTGAGGGAAGAAGAAAATTTAGAAGGTTCATAGTATGATTATCATTGCTTAGCATTATGTGAGCAGTTAAGGATGAGTAGACGGTCTGTTTCCAATACTACTTGCCATCTTGAGGCATAGAGAAAATTAAGACTATGTTTCAAAAGTAATTTCTGAAATCCCAGGGTTTGCGTGTGTGGGTGCCCATCTAAGAAACTTCTGTGGCCAGAGGTTCTCCATTTATTCACATCAAGAACTTCATTAACTTGGCAATACGAATTATGAACGCTTGCTACTGCAAGAGGAAGGTGAATTTTTTTAAAGCCTCATTTTTCAACTGGAGCCAAACTCTTCTGTGTTCCTTTGCCTCCAGGTGGAGATAACTGGTACTCAAATCTTGACTAGTAGCATATCAGCTCCAGGACCAGCTCTAGAACAAGGACCCCACAGCAGAGCCAGAAAGAGAGCCTAATCCTGTAATTAAGCAACAAGTCTCAGCGTTCTTTAAATCTGGAGTAAGAGAAAATTGAAACTAGTGCTAAAAAATCCTACAAGTTGGCTTTTAGGGGGAGGTTTACCACTCAGCTACCCTAACTGAGAGTGAATGGGACTTACTTGGCCAAAATTGCCTTTATAATCAGCTGAACCCAGGGAGCGGTGGGCTCCAGACAAACTTCTCTGCCATCCTTCAGAGTAGCTCTGCAAAATAAAGAAGAAAGTAAAGTCAAGCACCTGCTATGCGGATTTGTTTTATGCTCACGATGTAATACTGCATTTTTAGATGCACTGAAATTAGTTAGTATAAATTCACCTCACCCTGCTCGAGATAAGGACCTGGCCTAACATTTTGTTACATGTATTCCATAGCTGAGAAAGTAAAATCATACAGAAGTTTTGTGAGCCTGTGTGCCTGCAGTTGAATCACTGACATTCCCCAAAATGGTTTTCCATATATATATAGATAGATAGATAGAATATCTTGTTTTGTTTTGTTTATATTAGTAAATATTTTTTAAACGAAAGTCAAAACCTCTGGTGTAAAAAGGAGTCTTGATAGCATAAATATTTTAGTCTCTATTCCATGCTCTCCAAGACCAGATTGGTTTCAACATTTCTTTAAATCCATTCACGGAGACTTAATTTTTCTTTCTGAGATCGGTACAAAACTGTTTTAGTGGGTTTTGCCTGCCTAATAAATGCAGGTTTTAAACTAAATTGTTACCTAGTGTTATTAAAAACTGACCAGTCCTTGTACCTCATATTCTACCACCTTAGAGTGACTATTCAGTATGCCCCATAATGATCAGTTCAGGGATATGAAAGATGATAAAGACTGTGAAAAAACATGGTGTAATACTTAAATTTCGTCTCTTAAAAGAGTAAGCAACTCTGGCTAAATCATATCAGCCTGATAGCTGTCTTAGTTCTTATAAAACATAAAAGTCTCTGCAGCAGCATAACGCAGAGTGTAGTTGAAAAGCAGACAGGCTCTTGCAAGGATGCTTACATGACTTCCACGTTCTTGCAGTGAGGTCCACTTTGCGTCAGCTTTACATCTTGAATGGATTTAGGGTGGATGAACTTCGAATGAGTGGTTATGCACTGGCACCGGAGCTCATTTCCCATCCTTGCCAGGGCCCTGCCTTTGAGAAGAAAAGGAAAATTGTAGTCTGAGAAGCATTTTTATCATCAGTGTATCTGACATAAACCAAGACTGCGCTATTTTAACATCCTTCTCGATTGAAACATTGCTGCCGAAATCCTCCCAGCATAAAAATCTGTTACTTATTTTTGAAGAGCCAATGTACATTTAAAAATAAGTTCACATGTCTTTTTAAAATGAAACCATATATTTTATGGTTACTTCTGCTGATCATACTCTACAGCTAGTTGCGTCATTCAGCGTCTGGATTGACAGACTGGCAACTATAAAGAAGATATTGTTTGACTGGCAACTATAAAGGATATTGATATCCTTTATTGTTTCATTAATTTGAGGTGTGTCTATGTTCATATTGTCTGTTCTCCATTCCCAGCTGTATGTTACTCGCCTGAGGCAAGTATAATCATCAGCTAACAAATGTGAGCTCATAAACTGGAAAATGCTGTCCTTTGTGTAGGAAGGTAGAGAAATATTCAAACGCTTTTAAGAAGCAGACCCTGTCTTTAGCCAAACATGCGTAAAAGTGAAATATAGAAACAATGCAGATTTGAAGTAGCATCCTTAAAATTTTTTCCACAAGATGTCAGTAGCTCTTCAATACAAGGGCTACCTGGTAAATTTCTGACTAAAAGAGAAGTTGCTGAAAATATTTCAAAAGAAAGTAACTAGCTGAAACAAGTATAAAAGTATCTCTGCAAGGACATGCATCCCAGTAGATGCGTAGACAACACTACAGTCATGTGGGGCTTGGGAAAGATTTACTTACCTTGAGACACAGCTGCTGAGATGAGGAGAAGAGCCAGGACAGTCACCAGTTTGCCGTTCATGATTAGACAAGAGTTTTCTCCTTGATTGTTTAGCTTTGATTCTATGGAGCAGTGAGCTCTCTTGTCTCAGAGGACTGCTGATGTCTCAACTGGATAATCCATCTTGCTTATATACTGTTTTATGCCCAAGATGTGTGCACTGCTAGTATTTAGATTGCGTTAGAGGAATTTCCCACATGCAGTAAAAATGAGTCACATGACTGTTGTGAAACTCCTTCCTAGATGACTGAGGAATTATTTATCTGCAAATGAACTAATTTATTATTTTATTAAAATATGCCAATAATATCTGTGCAGTTGAGTTTCTTTTGTAAGCTTTTGTAAGCTTTGTGGGTTTTATAATGCATACTCTTATTTGGTAATAAAACTTTATGATGGTTTTTGGTGACATTTATAACTTTTTTTTTTCTTCAGGGATGTTTTTCTTAAGGGATGCCAGATCTATGTTTGAGATATTTAATTTATATTTTCTCTGTTTATGGTGATTGCTTCTGCATATAAGATTTTAAGCAATTGGAGTGAAAATCAGGCAGTGCTGAAGTCAGCAGAAACTTTGGCTTTTTCATTTTACCTCATTTTACCTTTTGATGCTACTGATTTTAATTTGTTGTTCTTTTCTTTTTTTCTGTTGAAGTAGCACCTTATGAAGTAAATTCTTCTCTAATATGTTCTGTTCAGAAAAGAAATTGAGGCTAAAATATTCAGAGCTTCCTGGGGGATATAGATGCTTAATTACAAGCAGCTTTGAAAATCATTTCTGCATTTTCCGTGTCACACATTTTGAGGACTGATAAATAGAAGAAGCTTAGCATGCAGGCCAAATGCTATGACCTACTCAAAGCCGTTGCTTTTGTTTGCTTTATAAATGTTAAATAGGCTTTAATAATGTTTTTCTGTAATCTTTTTCAGTTGCAATAAACCTAGGTTTTAACAAAGGGAGATAACATTAATTATTATGGTATTTTCTCTTAAGGAGCCTTGTTGCACGAATGCTGAGTGTTTATCTGCCAGTAGAAATATTACCTTTAAAGGGAAACGATTTCAACAGAACACTTAGGATCAAATGCTGATCTGTTGCTTAAACAAAGATTTATTTTTTAACCCATCTGGAGTGCATGTGATTAAGAGAAGCCATTCCATTTCTGTGCTGTTACATGACTGTCCTTTTGGCCATGATGACTTCTGCTGCTTGTCATCTCCAGCTTCAAAGCTAAATGTTTCTATGATCTGTGGATTTATGGAGGTACTTCTCCCAAACTCTGAGGAGGTCATAAAGATGCACTCAAACCCAAGTTATCTTTGGCATGTAAAGTGTTATAATTTACTCTGCACCGTTTGTCATGACTTTACCTCACAAAAGGGACTTTGTGGTGAAAATTCACATCTCCCATCGCTATTATCCAAGAAAAGATATTATCAAGTTTCTTTCTTCTACCACTTTCTAGATGTTGAGAGTGAACAAAAGATACCAGTTCTGACTCAAAATGGTGCATCTCCTTAGATCTATGTCATATAGAACGTTACTGAAAAATACCTTTAATTCTTTGAAGGCATGAGAAAGGAGAGGATTTTACCAGATATTGAAGGTTATGATTTATTGTTTATGTTTAATAATAGAAATGGTAGTAGCATTAAAAGATTGAGACCTGAGCACAAGCCCAGAGGCCAGGCACTCCGAAACTCTGTTCCTAGGAGTGAACAAGCTTTGCCCACGTTCTCCCAGCATCCCTTCAACACATATACTTTGCCCAATATCTCATCCCAGCCCCTGCCTGCGGGAACTGCAAATCCATTATCTTATTTTGGCAGCATGTGTTTTCCTGTCAGCCATGAAAGATGACTTGTGGAAATGGAATTGCTGCTCCTTCTGTAGGATAACGTCAGTGACTGAACTGATACTGCTGCGAGCAGATACCTTCCATGCTTACCCCTGTTAAAAGCATTCCCGTGTAACCAGCAAAACAAAAGTTGTGCAATAATCCAGCTACTGAAGGACTGCTGAAAAGGGAAGTACATACTTCCCTTTCCTGTGTTTTACTCTTAAGGCAGGGGATAGGATGTGTTCTCGGTGCTGCATGATGGAATGCATGGACTCATTGCCTTGTCTAATTAGCACAAAAGTTAAAGGGAATCATTTATGATCTTGGCTGTGATCATTTTGAATCTTTTCACATTGCAGGGATGACCAAAAACAAGTGACACAGTGAGGAGGGTCGTGTGTTCTCTGGTGACCAGGACCATCATGAGGGATGTGAGAGAGCTGGGGTCCCGTCTTTTCCTAGTTTAGGTTGCCTCTCTTCCAGATGAATGCTCTAACAACTGGGCTTATAAGGTCAGTCTATCTTAAAAAACTAAAAATCCTTTTTTTCTGACAAATTTGAACCTCTCAGATGAAAAGTTGTGCACACAAGAAGACCCTAGAGGCCCAGGAGCCAAAGCTTTCCCTGGAATGTGAGTTCAGCCTCCGCAAGGTGAACTGTATCAGTATCTCTTCCCCGCCCTTCTCTACCAACCAACTCATTTTTTTCCCCAGGATAAAAATCCCACTCTGTCTTCTGAAGTCACTTCCTCATCCCTGCAAAGTGCTTGGCATTCTCCCGAGATTCCACTTGACCTGCAGAGCGTGGAAGGGGCAAATACTGGCAGGTTGGGAAAGAATCTCTGCTTCTGCTCAAAAACGGGGCATGTTGTTATGCAGGCTTTGTGGAAGTTTCTGATGAGGCAATACGTAGAGAGCGGAATGTCTCCTAAACACCTGTCTTTTCACTTACTATGTGAGAAAGTGGTAACAAAGAAAGGGAGAAGCACTCAAGCCAGTTTTTTTTTCCAAACATAAGTACCTAAATATAGATGTTTATGTACTCTTAGTCTGATTACTGCAAATGCTGGACTTTCCTAACTCCCTCTGGAATCACAGAATAGAGCTGCTTCTTAATTTATTTGCCTCTTAATTTATATATTTTAAAAACAGTATTGCAAGTGTATATTTATGTGACTGTGTATATTTTTCTATGATGATTATTTCAGCTCTGCCTGAAAGCAGTCGTTCTTTGTTATGGTTTTCAGTTAAACAAAAAATAGTTGTGGGCTAAATTAAATTTTTCATTTGATCCAATTCGATATGAACAGTCACTTACAGTATTAATATTAAATATATGCCAATATTAGTAAATAAATAATACGTTAGTATTAATAGGCAATGCTAGCAAATATTAACTGATATTGATTTTAACAAACGTATTTGCTATACCTGATATTAACAGATATTCTAAGTCCCATTAGAGAATTTGTAGGGACCAGCAACTACAATTTTAACTGCTATATGAAAGCTGCCTTTATTCCTTCAGTTCTATTTCCCCTTCTCAGGGAAATGGCAGGAAGCATTTTCTTCCCACGCAACAGACAGTGGGAGTAAGATACGGAAATGATGGGAGGAAACACATTATAAATTTTAAGACGTTTGACTTGGGAGCTTCTGATTAAATTAAAAGAAAATAGTTTGCAGAGCAAATGTATGTCATGCATTTATCTCTGGCTCTTAAAATATCACTGACTATTAAGTTACTGTTTGCTTAAACTACAACCAATGCAGCTTTGTAGAAGTTAGCCTGAATACTTCCCAACAGTGGATGCATGGCCAGTCCCTTCAGGCTGACCCCCCCCCGCCCCCAAGAAGCTATAGAGGGCTAAGTATGCTGAGCTTTGTAATGCTCTAGCTGCACTACCCTCATTTCTTCAGCTAGCTGTGTCTGTGAGCTGCCAACACAGCAGCAATGGTAGTGTAAGGACAGCCTAAACCGGGTAGTACTTGCTAGGAACTGTCTGTGGAGACACTGTCCATATTTTCATGTATACAGTCTGCACATTGAAGTGACCCATGTTAAATATGTGGCAGAGACAGAGGAATAACAGAAGAAGATGGCTTCTTTGTGCAAACAACTCTATGTATCAGGTCTGTTTTTTAGAAAAGGTATGCACAGAGATAGAGAGTTGCTCTGTAACACTCGGTAGACAGCAGTGCGATAGCCTTCCTGGGAAAGAAGTGCATCAGGGTCCTGGATAAAAATACAGGGCAGTATTATAAATAAAATCTGGTTTGCTTAGAAGCTGTTATATACAAATTTACTAATGTGTTGAAACTCACGCCCCTGGATGGATGAAATC